GAAGGTAAGTAAGCGCTTGCTGCGGGCCCTCTCTGCACAGTCCATTCCTCTGGACCACCAGAGAATGCTATATTTACCTGTAACCGCATGTGGTTCCCATTTTTACACCGTTTATGATGTGTATAAATTGGATACTCTCCTATATTCTTTTATGGAATAAATTAATTGACAGCATTTCCAAGACATTGTCGTAAATGTTATGTTGATACAGCATTCTAAGTGGATTCTCAAGAACGCCTCTTTTTGCGGTAATGGATTCTTTGTAACATCTCAGTGATAGACATCTCACTGACATCAGGTGCTGTTGTGCTAAAAATGTTAACAGGTAAAATCTGTGGAAAAATCTTTACATTTGTTATACTTTGTAAAATAATGATAGATGAAATAGTAACATAGTTAATCTTTCTAGTGTTTTGTATTAAAGATAAAAAACATTGTATATGATTTAGAGATATAAGGATAATTTGAAGCAGCAAAGTATTTACCGCCTTTGTTCACAATGGTATGTAAAATTAAATTCTCTTTAAATGTTAAAAATACTCCTTTATTCAAAATCTCTCAATACATTTAGAAATATGACGTTAATTATCTTTCTATGACCTGTTAGGGAGAAGACAACTTATTCCCTAGTTATTAGTGGCTTAAAATACCAGAAACACCCAAAAATTGTCTTAAAAACATTATTTTATTTTTTTTAAACCAAGATCTGACAGCCATTGTGGAAAGTCACGTTTGTGAGATTGGATGCTTAACAATGTGAATCTTAAATGTTTAAGTATATTTTTCAGTGGCTGTTGGGTGTAGCTTAAGATGATTAGAATTTTTTATTATTTCTAAAAGTGAGTTAAGTAAGCACTTAGATACAATATTGAAGGTATTTCTATTTTAACTCTACCTTTGTACAAATCGTGCTCTAGTACAAGTGTCCCGTGATGTCAGGTTTCTGAAAGATTCTGCTGGCCTTTTATATTCCATTCTCTTGGCAGGGCATCTGCTCTTAGTAAGCCGGTCTTGTTATTTATTAATTGCATCAAGGTTTCTTTCGTTAATTGATGTGTTTCTTCCGAATTCAAATTCATATGCCACCAAATGTCATTGTGAAGTTCATTGTTGCAGAATATTGTTAATTAATTAAACGTAGTTAGAACCTCCCTCAAAGTCCCGATGACTTTGCTAGAAACATGTCAAATATTTACCTTAAATACTGGGTAAGTCTATTAAACAGTGACATAGCATTGTTATTCTGTATATCATGTTGTCACAGCTATAATGTGCAGTATTACAAACTATTCATAAGTGTTGTGCCAACTGTTCATTAAAAGCCAGTGGTCTAGTGAGCTATAGAACATTTATTTATTTATTCTTTAGAGCTCTGACCTCAATCGGCAAAGCAATATTGTAATGGTGTACATTGCAATCTGCTATCTATACCTGCTGTTCTCAAAAAGTCTGAATATGTTCAGAGATTTTTGGGGCAATAATAAATCCCCAAAAAACAACAACTTTGCATTTATGCTAAACCTGCCTGTTGTAAACGTATTCTGTATATTTCTTGACATAAGTACTTGTACTTAAATCTGTTTAACAAAGCTGTTTATATTGTGGTGTAAAATATATATATATATATATATATATATATATATATATATATATATATATATATATTTTATTATTATTTTTTTTATTTATTTTATTTATTTTTTAACATTGCTTAATTTTTAAAGATACCTGCATATTTAATTAAATTGTGTCTAAATATTTAATTATGTCTTTAAGGCATAAAATATCTGCAAATTACGATTATATACAAAAATGCATGTTCTGAATATACCCGTGATTCCTTTTCTATCATTTATTTATTTTTCTTAAGTCTGGAATCAGATTCCCAATTTCAGAGGCTTCTTAGGAGGTGACCACAGAAAAGTATAGATTCTATAAAATAGATGTGAGGGGGCATTGGAAAGTAATGTCACTTTAATTATACTTTTCATATAGAAAATATATGATATGCAATGTGATTTAATATATCAGAGTATTATCACTTTAAATGACACTGCATTTTTTTTATGCATTATTCTTTATGCATTATTATTTTAATTTTTTTTTCTTACATTTTAATGTCTACTTAGAATATTGCAGGCTTTGCAATATCAAATTAATTTTGCATTATATATATTCACAATGCTCTTACAACATATTATTAAAATTAGCCTCTTTCAGAATTGTAGAATACGTGGTGGAACTGAATTCCCATATATGAGATTTGAAACTGTATTTTTGATTTCTACGCTGTGCCCTGATCAGTATTTATATTCATAATTGCGGCAGCATATAGCTTTTAAAGAAGCAATTATTTCACCCTTCATGTGTGGTTGACTGTGGACTTTTTAAAACCTAATTTTTTTTTTTTTTATAAATCTGTTTCTGGTTCTAAGAGAGCAGGCTGCTGAATGCATGTAAATGCTGTTATTGCCTAGTCTATATACTTTTATTTATAAACAACATTGATGTATTGATATATAAACAACTTTGATATTTAATCTTTTTTTATGAAAACCTAGTTTATGAAATTCACTGAGATTACATGTGTCTGATCGGATTACAGTCAGTAGTACAATATAATTGTTCTAATTTCCTTACTGCTAGTACGGTGGTATAGTACCACTGATTTAATTAAGCTTTCCCTTTTAAAATTGGTGGACTTTACTGCCATTGCAATAGACTAAAGACTGTACCTGAGTAAGCAAAGTCATTATGTGCAGGAATTGTGCACTTTAAATAGTAGAATACTTATGCTATTCTAGTGAATTGGGCTAGCTGCTTAACACACCATTTAGTATCTTTTGGTCACATTTAAAGCTGTAAATGTATTTAACATTTTATTTAAATAAGCCTTTAATAATTTCAGTTTAAAAGTTATTAGAGATCCTATATAGTTACAATTTTATTTTGCCCTGAATTATCTTGCATATATATTATTTTATACATCTTTATTTTTTGCAGAGCATTTAGAGAAGCAAATGGTGTATGACCACCTGTTGCCCTTTTTTCTAGGAGGGTAGTATAATTTCAACTCTGTTTAGGAATAAATATGAGCTAGTTAGCATATATTATATAAAATACATGCTGCAGTGTACTGCATTGTACTGCACTGAATTTATTTAAAAGCCATGTCTTTCTCTTTATGGCTATATGTAATAATGTTGTTCATAATTTGGAATATAAAACAACAACTTCTCAATTCCTTGGGATGTTTACATGTCTCTGTATCTCCGCAACCTTGGCTGGAAATTCCAGACTCCAAAAATAGTTATGCTGTTATAATTCCTGATTTTCAATCAACAGCTAGCGTAACTGACAATATGGAAAATATCACTGTTTTATAAAACTTTTCTTATATACTGGACATTAGAATCCAGAACGCAGTAATGCAATAATTAAAAATCCTGTCTGTCTGTTGCATGAATGTTTTCATTAAGCCATAATGCAATTTTCTTTGCATTCTTGGAATTAGACTTCAAATTTCATCGCTCTGTCTTATCACTTTTCTTTTGACAACATTTTGCATTAATCTTTTTCCTGCGCATGCATACTAAGCAGCTACAAAGAGAATATATCCCCCTGTCTGCAATCCACTGTCCTGGAACTAATGGGCCATGCTGTGCTGGTGTATTAGGCATATCAGGGAGTTTACCAAATATGTATGTTGTGGACAGAAGTATTAACCTAATTCATGCTAGTAAAATGTCTATTTACTCAATATAACTACAATCAGTATTATTCAACTTTTTATGTGATTATCTAAAATGGCCACTAGGGAGTTTCCCCTCTAACATCGACTAACTACCTCGTGTAACAAGATGATGCTGGAATCTGGGGGAGACCCTCATGATGCCAGTGACATCACCCTGCGTAGGTAGAGCATTAAAAGAACCACTTAACACCTAACCAATTATTGACGTATTATTTCATGTTATCTCTGACAATGCTTCTGATGTAATTCTGCTTTAAAAAGGACAAGTCCTCCCCCCTGAATAAACATTCCTAAGTTTTTCATTAACCCGAAACTTGTGTCCGGCGTGAAATTACTTCATGAGCGTGCACGCACTTCTTCTTCAATTTGGTCAGGGGCAGATACACAAGATAATCAATTTATTGATTGATTTCCATATCAATGTATATTTGTTCTCTTATGATATTAATTAAGATCCACAATTTCAGCATTGTATGTTAATTACGATGTACCTGGCACCTGAACTCAAAGTGCTTTGTTCACATTAAAATCATCTCCAATGATGAAGATCTCTCACTGAGTCTGGGCTACAAATAGCTCAATAGATTCTTGATATTTCAAAACTTGTGCCATGACAAAGTATTGTGTCTTCTCTTACGTATAAGAGGTTACCTAGGTATTTATTATTTTATATTTAAAGCTTCCAAGTACAAGTCCCTTCGTGGTCGCCAATTGTAACCGCAGGTGATTCCCTTATTTACCACTATAATGTCTTAAAGCATAGAACTTAATAGGGCTAACCATACAGATATCTTAGCCATAATTTTATATAGTGTAAGAGATCCTCTATTTAAAATATATAAATAATTGAGAATACAATATAAAATAAGGATTGTCTTGGAAGCAATAGTTTTGTCTTTTTGGATATTTATTATATAAAAATATAAATATAAAATCCATTATAGCAGAGTTTATAAGATTAAATTACATGCTTGCAAATATCATTAATAGGTTAACATACCCTTCTGAACATGTCATCATGTCAGCCTCTCTGTCATTTTAAGATGGAGCAGCATCTGTCTTCAAGTCTCTCCTCTGTGTCTTAACATTTAAAAGTACACCTATTTATACCTTAGGTGTCTCCATTTTAGGGTTACCGTAGTTCATTTACTTTATTCATTTTAGAACCTCCCTTAATTTGGCAAACATACAAGGCCATAACTAAAGGGTGTACACGTCATGGAAATTTTCCTGACTTAGTTCAAGATGGCATCTTAAAGTCTGAATAGGTTATCTGTTGTTTATACTAAGTCGTAAGTGTACAGTTGTGGGAGATTCCCGGATCTGGGGAAGTTCCATTAACTTGGGGTTACCACAGTATATTGTGTACTGCAAGAGTCGTAGTATAGCCTTGAAGCTTGTTTATGCGTTATTGTTATTGTAATTCGTCTGGGACAAAATGGTGCAAACATATTATGCACTGAGGTTATTGCTTAAAGAAACAGTTATGAAAAACAATATGTTCCATTTCCAACACCTTGTCAGTTTGCAATATCTCTTAAAGACAAAGTACACAGTTTAAGAAATACAACATTTCATTCTAAAACTTGTAATATTTGCATTTGCCCATAACATACCCTCCCTGGACAGGTAACAAGCAGGAAGGGGGGACTAAAAAAAAGACAAATAATATATATATATTTTTTATTTCATTAAAAATGCCCCTCCCCCCAAATTACATACCTACAGAAACACACACACACACACTGCATTATATACACACTACACAAACACACACACTGCATTATATACACACACTACACAAACACACTGCATTATATAAACACTGCATTCACTATACACACACTACACAAATACACACACACTACATTATATAAACACACTACACACACACACACTCTGCATTCATTATATACACACACTACACAAACACATTGCATTCACTATACACACTACACAAATACACACACTGCATTATATACACACACTGCATTCACTAGACACACACTGCACAAACACACACACTTTGCATTTAGTATATGCACGCACACTACATAAACACACTGCATTCACTTTATGCACACTACACACACACTGCATTCACTTTACTCACACACTGCATTCACTTTACACACACTACACAAACACACACACTCTGCATTCATTATATACACACTTCACAAACACTGCATTCACTATACAAATACACACTACATCCACTACACACACACAGCTACCCTGTCTAAACACACTGCATCCACTACACGTGGCATGTATATTTTGTGCATTTACTTTTAGAAATAGTTTATTTTTTCCAAATTGGTAAATGTACAGAATATCTGTAAATTATCGGCTATCCGCCTGAAAGTTCACAGATTATCGGTATTGGCTCTAAAAAATCAATATCGAGTAAGGGGGAAGAACACTATGGGACAGGGCAGGGGGGAGAAAAGAACACAATGGGGCAGGGGAGAAGTGGGGAACACTATGGGACTGGGGGAAGGGTGAAAAGAACACTAAAAAAGATGGAGAGGAGAGGAACAGTAGAGGGACGAGAGATGAACATTAAGCGGGGTGGACCACAAAAAGAGAAGGAAGTCGGGAAGTTTTTCATATTAGATTACTTAGAATTCATTAAAATGTCTAATATTAATAAAATTATAGGAAAAAATATTTTTAAAAAAACATTTGGAGAAAAATGTCAGTTTCGGTTTTTGGCCAACGGCATCCTGAATTTTCGGTTTCGGACCAGAATTTTCATTTCGGTGCATCCCTAGTTGACAGTACATTCTTGATGACACCGTAACCACCTTTCCCCCAACTCAGTGATGGTGTTCGTGTAGTATGTGGGAGGGTTAAAAACCAGATTTTCATGTTGCTTGTAATATAAGGGGTATGAGAATTATTTCCCTCGATCTCTTTACTGGTACATCCACGTGTCACTGATCATTCACTTGTAGGAGGATGTGTTAGCGGTAATGGTCAGTTGTGTTCATCGTACCAGTAAGTTCGGGGTTTATGGTAGGGGGGTAAGGGAGCTTATCCATTAGGAATTCTTAGCAATATGTAGCTAATACTTTAAAAGGTAACAGTTGCCTTGCCCATAGGATGAAAGGATAAACGTCTGGAGGTATGTACTCATCGCTCTTGTGGAGGTTCGTCTTGGGTTGTAGCATGTTTGAAGCCCCAGGGTATGTAGTAGTTGGTCATATTGCAGTCTCCCTGCATGTGTAAAATCAAAAAATTAAAATGTTAAAGGACCACTAGAGGCACCCAGACCACTTCAGCTCAATGAAGTGGTCTGGGTGCCAAGTCCATCTAGGGTTAACCCTGCAGCTGAGAAACTGCTGTGTTTACATTAGGGTTAATCCAGCTTCTAGTGGCTGCCTGTCAGGGTACCTGTTGGTGCTGAATCCAGGGAAGACATCCTCTCTGTTTAGGGGCTCCCTGCCCCTAGCATTTCGGCATATTCCGGCCGTTTTCGCGCCGGCCGCGCTAGCTCCTCCCCCTTTTATGACGCGACGGCTAGCGTCGACGTCATGACGTCGGCATTTACATGAAGTGCCGGGAACCGCTATTCCGGACCTTTTGGGGGCGTGGTCCCTATTTAGGTAACAGGGTATTTAAAGGAAACCTTTACTACTGCTCATTGCCCTGTCGTGGTTCTAGCTTGCTAGTCACTCAGCGCGTTCTTTATCTTGTGTTTCCGGTTTTGACCCTTGCTTGTCTTTTGTCCTGTTGTCCTCTCCTCTCCTTTGACTCGGCTTGTATCTCGCTTACCTGTCCTCCGGCTCCCTCGACCTCGGCTTACCTTTTGACTATTCTTGCTTTGTCCCTACGTTAGTCCGGCCATTCTAAGGTCCGGTATACGTACCTCCTTCTGTCCGCACTCTGCGTATTGGATCCCTGTCAGTATCCTGACACTGCCTCATTGACAGCCGCTAGTGGCGCTTCCGCGCTTCTCACTGTGAAAATCACAGTGAGAAGACACTGTTGTCCATAGGAAAGCATTGAGAAATGCTTTTATGGACTGATTGAATGCACGCGTGCCTCTTGCTGCGCATGCGCATTCAGCGCTGATGACGGAAGAGGGAGGAGATTTCCTGGCGCTGGAGAAAGGTAAGTGTTTAACCCCTCTTGAGCCCAGCGGGAGGGGGACCCTGAGGGTGGGAGGGACCCAAAGACCCTATAGTGCCAGGAAAACGAGTTTGTTTTCCTCGCACTATAGTGGTCCTTTAATGTTAATAAAGATATAATTATATATGTGTATATCTATATAATATGTCTATATATCTTATATATACAATGTCATACTAAGTGTATTTTTATGTTAATATATACATATATTAATTTAAAAATACACTTATAATTAAATTACACACGTATATATATTATATATGTAATAACTATATATATTGTGTGTGTTTATATATATATATATATATAATTATAAAATACAAATAATAAGTAAATTAAAATAAATAAAAAAACTTAAAAATAATTAAAAACATTTTTTAAATTATATATATATATATGAAATTTTATTCCAACTGTATTTTGATATTAATACATATATATATATATATATATATATATATATATCTATATATATATATAGATATATATATATAAAAATATCCAACGAATAGCTGCACTCACGGTGAATAAAAAGCAGAATTTATTAGAAATGGATTAAAACATCAATGATCAACGTTTCAGTCCGACCAGGACTTTCCTCAGGATCAATAAAAAGATGAAAAACGATATATACACAAAACAGGACATTTATACATAGATCTATTAAGGATGTAAACTTACCCAAGGTGACAGGTCATTGCCATAGTAATGCTAAACAACAAAGCGTCACAGCTATTAGACGCAAACAGATCGCCATGACCATTGCCATGGTGATGCTGATAAACACAGCAACTCCATCGGCAATGAGTAAGAGAGGGCTCACTCGGGATGAAACATTAATATGATCAAAAAAGCATGTGAATAAATAAAATAAAGTATAAAAATGTAAAAACAATGTAGAAATGTGGGTATACAATGTCTAAGTGAACCATACACTATATTAGATTAATACTTATCAGTGCAGTTATAGTGTTTTAAGATATGGCATATTTAAATGGATGTGTATACAAATTCCATATCATATATTAATAAGTGCATAGCCAGTGTACCTGAATGAATAATGCAACCATATAAAAGTGTATATCGTGCTCATTAGAAAAATGTCTATTGCAACATACAGAACAACCCATATTTGGGACTTAGTTAAAGTGACAGTGCACTGGACACAGGGCCGGTGCTAGGATTTTTGACTACACAGGCGAAGATGCATTTTGACGCCCCCCCCCCAAAATAAATAAATAAACAATGCATCTTCACCTCTGTGTCTCGTAGCCCCCTTTTGAATTTCTTACCCCCATTAGTGTTGCATATCCACTCTCTTGAATGTCTTACCCCTTTGGCCCCTTTGTGCCTTACACCCCCCTTTAGTGTGTCTCCTACAACCCCTCTTATGTATTTCTTACTTCCCCGCCAGCCCCTATCTATCTCTCTTTTTCTCCCTCATAGACATAGATACAGGCTAAAATACATACATGCACAAATACACAAACATACAGACACACAACCATACAAGCACACAGACATAATTTTTCAGGCACACAGTCACAAAGATATACAGACACACAGTCATAAAAGGCACACAAACAAACACAGTCATACAATCTACACATACAGGTACATTGTCGTACAAACACAGACATACATTCATACAGACACAGGCATTCACAGAAATACATACACAGACATAAAGAAACAGAGATAGGCATACAGAGACATACATACACAGACAAACAAAGAACCCTGCACACTGACACCGTGTAAATGCTCCGGCCATCAACAGAGGTGGATGCTCCATGTCAGGCAGACATTGCTGGATCCACCAGTAAAGTCTTCAAAAGGAATAAACGCAGGCAACACTCCAATAGTAAGGATGGTATATTTATTGGTAGGTGAACCACCCCATAGAAAGTGTGATGTTTCAGCTCATGCAACAAGGCTCTGCTGAGCCGAAACGACGCACTTTCTTTGGGGTGGTTCACCTATCAATAAATATACCATCCTTACTATTGGAGTGTTGCCTGCGTTTATTCCTTTTGAATACATTCACACGGTCATACAGAGACATACATACTGTATGTCTCTGTATGACGGTCTGTGTATGTACACAGGATGGCTAAAAGATAGATCCCCATCTGTCGTGCAACTTCAACAATGCGTTGAAAGCTGGGGCTCTACCGATTCCCCATTCTTGCAGGATTGTATTTAGCATGGAGCAGTATTTGTGTGTTTGACTGTAAGCATGTGTTTGTATGGAGTATGTTTGTATGATTGTAGCGGTGTGTTTGTATGTCATGTTTGCATTTGAATGCAAGCATGCATTTATGTGTAGTGTTGGTTTTTGAACGCAGGTGTGTGTTTATATATAATTTTGGTGTCTGATACAGAGGTGTGTTTGTATGTAGTGTTGACATTTGAATGCAGGGGTGTGTTTGTA